GTAAGTAAACGTCATTAACATGACGTCATTTTTGACGAGACAAACTCACGTCGTCATTACGTTAATATCACGTCATAAACTAACGTCGAACTGGTCAAAAACTGACTTTATATTAACGTCATTATAACGTCAGCTGGTTGCCTGGGTCAAAAATAAAAACTAGTAAGGCAATATTATAATAGTTATGTTTATATATAAATATATACATATATAGTTGTATATGTATTTAAAAATTTCACAAAATAATGATACTAACTAATAATGTGTGTGTATGTGCATGAAAAGATAAGAAGAATGACACAAACAATTATTTTATATAATTTTGAACCAGTTACGCTAGATTTTATTTTATAAGGTTGCCCTTAAAAATGTTCTTCTGTCAAAGATATATTTATGGTTCTGACAAGAACCGTGTAATGTGACTTTGTAAAATATTTTTTGTGGCTCTGATAAGAGCCGTTAAGCGTAATTCGTGATGACATGATATTCAGTTTTTCATGACTGAGCAAAAGTATTGGGCCATCATCTGGCTTTTGCTCCTCACGCGCAGAGGCGTGCGCCATATATGCAAAATTGCAAAGAAAAAGAAGAAGTATAGGGCTTTCTACAATAAGATATTAGTAATAAATCAGAAGTCAGAAGCAAGAAATTGACCAATCACAGTCAAATCACAGAAGAATAATCGATTGTGATTAGTCAATTTCTTGCTTCTGACTTCTGATTTATTACTAATATCTTATTGTAGAAGGCCCTTTAAGTATATATAATTTTATGTGTGATGGCCTTTATGCGTAATGCGTTATGCAAAAGTCTGTCCTTCGGCCTTAAGAAAAATTTTCTGTAACTAAGATAATTCTATTTTACAAAAAAATAATGTTATCTAAATAAGGTAATTTTCTCTATAATACGATAATTTTGTCTTAAATAAAATAATTTTATGTTAAGAAAAATGATTTTATTTTAAATAAGATGTTTTTATCTTACAAAAATAATTTTATCTTAAAAAAGATGATTTTATTTTATAAAAGATGATTTTATCTTAAATAAGATGTTTTTATCTTAAAAAAGATAATTTTAGCTTAAAAAAAATGATTTTATCTTATAAAATATAATTTTATCTTAAATAAAAAGTTTTTATCTTAACCCTCGGAGAACACACTGGGTCAATTTGACCCTGTTCGTCGACTTTGATCAAAATATTTTTAAAGCCGTTTTGAAATCTGCAAGCCCGAGGTTCTCAGGTAGTAGTTTAGAGTCTTAACTATAAGTAGAAACCGCTTTTTGTGTGAAGTGAA